GTATGCTGGAGAATACAATACAAAAATTAACATCCCTCAAATCACTGAAAGTTTAACTCGGTCCTTAAAAGCTCCGATGTTAAAACCCAAATAAGACATAGCAAAATTATTTTAAATTATGAACAATAAACACTGTAAAAACAAACAACATATGTAATATGTGTATTTTTCTATCATGCCGACTGTTACCTGCCTTCCTCCTGTTCTTTCTGAATGCATCTGCTCCAGCTCTCAGGTGGTTGCCTTTCAGGAGGGAATCATAATTTTCCCCTCTCAGACTTGCTTGTGAGCCAAAAGTGATTACTTCACCAGACCTCACTTAAGATAAGACCTGAAGCTCTACCACCTCTAAAACAAGGCAGTGGGAAGCAGAGACCAGATAGCGTCCCTAAGACAAAACATTTCTTTACATCCAAAACCTGTGAGAGAAGAAAGAATTTAACGGAAACAAATCAGTCTACAAGCTTGTGATTAAATCAGTCTATAAGCCTAGAAGTATTGCAATTATCTTATAATTATCATCCCAGCCATTTGGAAAGAGGCAGTTTATCCACTGAGTTGTCTTCCTATCTGCTGCTGCTTAAACTAGATCAAGACATTAACACCAGAAAGTCTTAATGTTTTTCTCACCTACCAGGTCACATACAGTATTCATGAAATTATTATAGCATGTTCTCGGATTAATCTTTCCTTCACAAAAAAAGTTTTATTAAACAATAAAAAGTCCAGTTTCTACAATGTGGAAATCCAACCTGATCTAAAGATATTAACTAAAAAATAGGATCAGAAGATTTGTGGAGGTGGAGAAAGGGGACTCAAACTAGTCTTTCCTTTTTGTTGTATTAAGCACAAGGAAAGGGAAGGATCAAGGTGACCAAAGAGAAAAGCGCACACAGGTAAATGAGCACTGCTCTGCACATACCGCTAATCCATGTTAAAAATATAGTTAATCTCTTTTATGTGGCAATCTAAGCAGTTTTCAGTCCTGAGAGTTATTTGAGATGCATGCCACCTGATTTCCACTGGTAGTAATTAATCAAGGTATGAAGCACAAGAGGAGGTACAGTATCTCTACTTACCAAATTGTAGGACTACTGGAAAAGTCTGCAGTTCTTCTTTGGACTCAACACCAATGCAGAGGTTGTCTTTGGAAGGAAGGTGGAGTGTACAGTGTGAGGACCCCCAAAAGACACTGTTGATTAACTGAAACATTTCATTTTGAACAATGTAGATACATCTTTTGGATCATAAAAATGTTTGGGCCTGAATCTCAACTGGCATAAACAGATATAGTTTCCCTAATGTCAAGGGAGCAAAGCCATTTAGCATATATTACGTATCTGTCTTTATATGACTCTATTTTTAAGACAAAGTGTTGAGGTCCAAATCATAACTATCCTAGAGAGTGCTGGTGTAAGTAAGGTTCCCACCACTGGCACCAAGAAGAGAAGAGGTTACGAACCATCATACAATGTTTTGGACACGCTTAAAACTCTGCATATGCCCTCTTGCCCCTGCACTGGCCAAACTTACAGTAAGTTTCCTTTCAAAACTGTTAGTAGTGGTAAGATCATTCTCAAGTAAGGATGTCTGGGCAGTCAAAAGGCCACTACAAATCTGAGTAAACAAACCTGTTTGAAGATCAATCAAAGTCTCTGTTTACAATGTTTGAGCTCAATCAATGCTGTTGTGCAGAGCGTATGGTGCCTACAGAAGCAATAACAGAGCAAGTCAGGGAGGAGGACTCAATCACAGATGCCTCCAGAGACCCATCCCCTATTACAGATGTGAGCAAGAAGCCAAGCTGAACATCCCCACCACCCACACCCTGGGGGAAACCAAACAAGTGATTTGGAAACAGGTTATCAAAACCATACTGCAGGGTAACCAATACTGAAGCTGATGAGAACTGGGTCAGTTTTCAGGGGTAGCTTAGAGGAGATGATTGTGCAGATTGCTAATGGAATCACAGGCCTTTTAGGCAGCGAGGAATTGGCAGGGTATAAACGAGCCAAACATATGCTGGCGTCTGGGAGGAAGAATTGTACGGGACTTACCGGCAAACTCTATCCAATTCTGTCTGCTTTGGCTTGGGGGAGCGACACAAATGTATTTGGAAATCAGGGCCAGAGACCCTAGAAGTGAAGATGTATTGTAGGGGGTCATGTAATATCTCTTTCTGCCAGGACAGAGACCTAGGGCGTGGACAAATGTCATGTTTGTATCAGTGTAATGCATATTTCACCAGTATAAAAAAGTAGCAAACCGACAATACAAACGCCTAACCTAGGGTAAAGAAATATCCCTAAAAGAAACAGCGATAAATATCCACTAAGTCAAATTACACCAGTTTAGGTTAGTGTGACTGTCCTGGGAGAGCCATTCCTTGACTATATCTGTTTCCCTACTGCCATGGGGCAAGGTACCATAAGAGCTGCCTATTGTGTGATTACCTCGGGATACTGTGCATCTGCAAATTCCTAAACCCAGTTTAATTTACATTTGAACTGAAGGAAATTACATTGGGGTATGTGTTCAATTGTCCATGCCCCTAAACAGTTCCTTAAAGTAATAATTAAAAAGAAAACCTTTCAAAGATTCTTTTCAATTTGTCTAATCCTCATCGGCTAATTTCGTATTTCAATAAAGCGTGATCTTAACTGATCAATTTGGCTTAGAACAGAGCTGGATGCATTTTAAAATAGAAAGTCATTTAAAATTGGTTGGTTGCTGACTCGTACTTTTCAGGCTAGTCTGAATTTAGCACCATACTGATATGTAGTATTTTAGAAAGCAGTAACTGGCACTGGCCTCAAATGATGATCTTTCTTATAAATCCTATAAACTGGTAAAAGTAAATACAACTCCCCCCCCCCCAGTCACTATTAAAAGAAATGGGTGGAGAAACACCATATTTTCAGACACACCCAAACAGTGTATTCGCTGCCCTCACTGACTCTACAGCAACAGTATTTTTTTTCCAAAACTGAGTATATCCTGTTAACATAATTACTTTCGGGACTGTGTCCATCCTGCTGACATCAACCTCAAATAAAGATGATCGTGGGAGTCAAAAAAGCCAGGTGTGCACTCCGTCAGCTGATGGAAAACTGCAAACGTTTGAAGATCAACTGAAGTCTACGTTTACAGTGCTTGATCTCTGCCACTCTTGTGGTAAAGAAGTACTGGATTGAACACAGGTATATGTCTTCTCCTTTACATCATGATCCTTTTAGTCTACTGGAGCAGGAGAAATATAAAAGGACCGGAGTCTAAATGAGAATCTGGACCAATGCATTTAGTTAGACGTGTATCTGGCAGCTTTGGTTACACTGCAGAATAAATTGCAGAATAAACTGCAGAATACAGAACAGAGAATTTAACTTACAAGAAGGGCAGAACGATATGGAAGAAGTCAAGAAGTGCAATTAATATTACTTTGCTTTAACATTAGTGTTACCTTCCTTTACTGAATTAATAGCAGTGGCAAAATAAAGAACATATGACAGATACAAAATGGGGCCTAGTCCTTCACTTACTATACCAGTTTTATGTTCTGAGAAATCCCTTCACTGCAACTGAATTTCAATGGCTAGAAGTTGTGTAACTCTGGAGAATCTGGTTGATGGAATGTAAAAACTTCCCTTTATTCACCACCATTTTTTACTCAAATGTAACTTTCCCTCTAGAAATGGCCAATGAAGTATTAAAAAGAGGGTGTGTTTTGCTTGTGCATAGGTACCGGTCATATGCACGGTGTTGTTATTTAACTTCCCAACTTTTCTTGGCCTAACATTTCCCTTATGACAAGCATCTTTATGTGGGGCCCTCGACCTCTGGAACGGAAACATGGCAGGGAGAACGCCTGGCGCTTCTCACCGCCCCGCCAAAAACCTTAGCGTGACGATACAGCAGGTCTCGCCCACCCGCGTTCTCCACTGAACCCGTTCTGTTCAATATCAACTGCCGGATATTTAATTTTCGCTCAGCACCAAAGCAGGTTTCTGACATCGCTACAGGCACGCGGGGCCACATTTACATTTACGAAACACGTTTAAATAAAACCCCTTGTGATCCTTGACGCTGCAAACCCAACCGGGCGCGTTCTGCTGACGCCGAGCTTTAACCAAGCCTCTTTTTTCACTGGGGTGTAGGCGGTAGCCGTGTTGGTCTAAGGACACGGAGTCGGCAACATTTTTCTTAGCAAGCTTTTGGGTTTAAAAAGCCCCCACAACAACCCTAAAGCATCTGCAGTGGGTGCGCGCTCTTCCTGGATGGAATAGTTCGGGCCCTTGACTCATTACAAAAAAACCCTTTAAGCGGCCTGCGCTTCAGCGCTTTGTCCCTTGCAGATTTGATACTATTCAAGGCTCCAGCTTCCAGGACGTGCTGCCCTGGGGTGCCTAACCCCCAGCCAGCTCGGATGCAAACTTCCACCTCAAAAAAAAAAAACACCCCCCCAAAAATCCCGTCAGTCTTTGAAGAGAGCATGAATCTCGCCGGCCTGCTGCAGGGGCACTGCCCGGCTCCACATCGGAGCCGGTTAACCGGGGCGGGGGGGAGAGGAGACGGGGGCAGGAAGGCTCGTTCCTATTGTGCTGCTTCTCCCGCCCCGGCTCGTCCTCGTCCTCGTCCCCGTCCGCGTCCTCCTGCCCGCGCCGCGTCGCCCCTAATTGG